TTTAAATGGGACATTTTATAGAACCTTGTGTTGCTAGGTTTGTTTTATATTGAGATATAGTCTCAATATGTGGATACAGTGAAATTCACTCTTTTAATGTACAGTTCTATGAATTTTGACAAATGTATATAGTCATGTAACCACCATCACATGATATAGAATATTGCCAGCACCCCAAAAACTTCCCCTATGTCCCTTTGCTGTGAATCCCTACCCCCGGGCCCTAGCCCCTGACAACAAGGAATTCTGACTTTTCCAGAAAGTCATATAAATAGAATCCTACAGTATGTAGCCTTTTGAGTCTGGCTTTTTTCGTGCAGCGTAATTGGAGATGCCCCCGTGTTGTCGCATCAGTAATTCATTCCTTTTTATTGCTGAGCAGAGTTCATTGGATGAATGGAGCACAGGTGTTTACGCATTTACCAGTTGAAGTCTTTTTCATTTAGATAATGCAGGAGAAAAGCTGGCTTGAGCAGATCCCCTTGGCCACTGAGGCTGCTCATGCCTACATGCTCATCCCTAGTGTGTCCGAGGTAGCCTCCTTCCTCCCCCAGCCCCTGCCTGTCAAAACTCCTTTCCTTTCCTTCAAGGCCCTTTTCAAATGCCCCCTCCCCGACAAGGAGCAGGGTTTACTGTCCCCGTGTCACAGGTTGGTAAAGTGAGGCTCAGAGAAAGGTAGCCCTCACCTGCTAGAGGTCCACAGCTAGAGCGTAGCAGAGCCGGAAGTCAAACCCAGGGCCAAGGGGAGAGGGAGTAGCTCAAGGGCCAAAGATCAGCCTCTTTGCAGGCCAGAGGGGTGGTGGGAGTTCAGAGCCCCATTACCCCCATCTCAGCTCTGAGAGTTTACCAGCATGAGGGTGGCAGAGAATGGGGAGGTCCAGTCCTGCATGGGGAGGCGGCAGCGTGGCAGATCCTACCAGGGCCTGTTTCTCCACGGGGGTCCTTCCTCCACCCTTCCAGCTGGTGCCTGAGCCCAGGCTGGGCCCAGCGCCCACCACACAAGCTGACATCAGTCACCAGAGCTGCGGGCTGGCTGAGCGGTGCCCACATTACCCATCCTAGGGCCCATGAGCATGCGTGGCAAATTGGGTGATGGGCCCCAGCTGTGGGTGGCCTTCGCCCCACCCAACCATTGGCAGCCACAGGACAAGTGGGGGACTAATAAGAGTGCTTAAGGAGCTCCCATTGCTCGAGAGGATCCCAAGCTACCCTGCTCTGCACACCTGAGGAGTCTTGGAACACAGCCCACCAGCTGGTGACCTTCGGCAAGTCTTCTGGGTCTCAGTTTGACCATCTGCAAATGAGACTCTTGGGGGAGAGGCTTGAGAAGGTCTCATGGCTGGAATAAACTTGCTGTTTGTGTGGAGCAGAAGCTCAGGGCCTAGGAGTCTATATTTTAAACCAGCCTTGTGACACATGGGATAGTCTGAGAGCAGCCTCAGTATAGCTCTGCTTACCCTTGTGCACATGAATGCACGCTGGGCCACATGTTAGAATCGCCAGAGTATTGATAGAGGCATGGCGGGGAGGCTGACCTGTGGGTATGCTGGCAGCCTGGCCCAGGGTTCAGGGAAGTGAACAGATTGGCAACTCACATTAGGATCATAGTGACCAGAACTTGCTAGTGGATTGAGTGCGGTGGGTGACAGAAAGAGTCAAGGATGGAGTCTGGGTTTGGGGCTTAAGTAATGAGTGAGGCCATTTACTGTGATGGGAAAGAGGGAGGAGAATGGGGTGGACAGGCAGGGACGGGGTGCTGTGGGAGCTGGGGAATCAAGGGTTATGTGTTGGATGCTTCTGCCTGAGATGCTTTTGGAAGCCCGGGTGGTGATGGCAAGCTGGTGGGACATTCAGGGGAGAAATCCGGGTGGGATGGAGACCGCGCGGTCAGCACGTAGGGGGATGTGAAAATCCTAGGACCCACTGGAGTGGCAGGACCCTGATGCATCTGGGGCCTTGGGCACTTTGCCATCTGGTCCTGGGTGGAGCTTATGGATCCTTTTTCAGACTACTACTTTTTTGTTTTTTTGGGTTTTTTTGCATTACGCGGGCCTCTCACTGCGGGGACCTCTCTCGCCGTGGAGCACAGGCTCCGGACACACAGGCTCAGCGGCCATGGCTCACGGGCCCAGCCGCTCCGCGGCATGTGGGATCTTCCCGGACCGGGGCATGAACCCACGTCCCCTGCATTGGAAGGCGGACTCTCAACCACTGCGCCACCAGGGAAGCCCCAGAATATTACATTTAAATGCATAAAATAAAAGCCTAAGAACACCCAGTGATAATGCGATTATAATCAAAACATTAAAAGTTAAATCTGTGCCATAGCTGTCACATTATCCAGTGGTGGGTTTGAGAATGTCTGTCATTCTGAAGTGATGATCAGTATCATATTTTAAGATACTGTAACATCGGTGCTGTGATGTGAAAATATTTGTGATTTCTATTGGTAATGAAGTTGTACAATCAACTAACAGTGCTATGATTTGGGGCCTGTGCTCATAATTGAAGGAAATACCAAATTTTAATTACAGGTTAGTGAACAGAAATGTAATTTTTCTCTCAGCCAAGTTCACGGACCCCCTGAATTCTCTTCACAGGCCCCGTGGTCCCCCATTAAGCACCCTTGACCTAGGGAGAGAACGTAAACACCCTTGACGAGGGCCCAGGATGGGGCTCATGAGAGCTCCCTAAGAAGCCTGAAAAAGGAGGACTCAGAGAGGGGGTGATGGGAGGGGAGGGCAAAGGACAGAGGAGGGGAGAAGGAAAACTCAAGGAGGGTACATCTGGGAAATACTTCCAGAAAAAGGGGGCGGCCATATGGGTTGACTGCTGCTGAGGTGGAGAGTAAGCTGAGGGCATAGAAGTGTCCCCTGACCCTCCCTTGTCAAGGAGGGTTATAACAAGGTGCGTTAAAGAGTGAAGGGGCTCCCTGGGGCTGGGGATAGGTCGGCGGGTGCACAGGATTCAACAATATGGATTGTATTTTTTTCTTGAGTGTGGTAAATACACAGACTTTATTATACTATTCTTTATGCTTTTGTGTGTGTGTATGAAGTACACCATAATAATATTATTAATTTTTTTAAAAGATGGGGACTTCCTGGTGGTCCAGTGGTTAAGACTCCATGCTTCCACTGCAGGCGGCAAGGGTTCGATCCCTGGTTGGGGAAAAAAGATACCGCATGCCACAGCCCCAAAATTAATTTAGTTATTTATTTATTAAAAATAAAAAAATTAAAAGGTGAGCGTGGGAATGGAGGTGAAGATGGAGACAACTTGTTCAAGAAGTTTTGTTGTTTGGGGGAGCAGAGAAACTGGAGACACAGATAGAGGCGGCTGTGGAGTCAAGGATATTTTTTTTCTTTAACTTTTAGCTGGGAGCCCTTGGAGCACATGTGTGTGCTGAGGGATGGGGGGCGCTGATGGTGCAGAGGAGGAAAGAAGGGGCCAAAGGGACAAAGGCTTGAGAAGCTCGGATGTACTTGTCTCCCTGGTCCTCAAGTCCCCTTTGTGACCTCTGCACCATGGGTTCTCACACTTAAGCGAGCATCAGCTGGCTGGGCCTCTCCGCAGAATTTCTGATTCAGTAGGTCTGGAGTGGGGCCTAGAAACTTGCATTTCTCACAAGCTCACTGGCGATGCTGCCACAAGGACTACAAGTTTAGAACCACTGCTCTAATCAACACCACTTGCGCCCCCTTCAGGATTTAACGTTGCACTACAATGGACCATGCCCCTTCTAAAGCACTCAAGGGAGGAAGGTATGGGAGCAGACACTTGAGATGGAAGAGACTAAGGAAGAAGCAGCTGGAACCTGACCCCCAGCCAAGGTCACTGCCTCTCTCTTGGAAGCACCAGTCTTCCCAGGGACCCTGGGAGCTGCCCTTTTGGACCTCCTGGAAGACTGACAGGAGAAGGGAAGGAGCCAGGGCTGGGGGATAGAGACTGCGGCAAGAGGCCAGCAAGTGTGCCAAATGGAGATGGAGTGGAGGAGGGGCACCGGCTCTCTGCCTTCAGGCACTGAGCCCTGAGAACATGCTGTTCACCTTTGCAATTTGATCCTGGTCTCACACCAGACCAGTTTTCTCCTGCTCTTGGGAAAGAGAGCCGCCCTGTCAAAGAAATGAACATTAGCTTGTCAGATACCAAAACATCTGAGCTGGGAGAACCCTTGGAGACTGGCCAGTTCAGCTCCATTTCACAGATGGAGCGGGCCAGAAAATAGAAAGTCCAGCTTGGTTGATGGACCTGCAAACTCTTGTACGGGGAAATATGCATCCCCACTTCCTGCTACTGACTCAGCCCTAGGAAGCTGGGTAACGGGCATGACACTGGGTGCTATGCTCTGACCCTTGCTGCTTCCCCTTTTCATCGACTCATTGAACACATTTTTTTTGAGCACCCACTGTAAGCTAAGCATTGTGCTAGATATGGAGATAAAGCAAGATCAAGCCCCTTGCTTCATGGCACTGACATACCAAGGGTAAATTTTAAAAGGCAATAAACAGATAAATATGTAATACGAAGTCAGGGAGTGATAAGTGGCAGGAAGAGACCTGAAATGACATGAGGGAGTAAGCCTTGTAGATGGTGTGTGAGTGGGGAGGATCCACACAGAGGGAACAGCATGTGCAAAGGCCCTGAGGTGGTTGTGTGCTTGCTCTGTTGGAAGGGCGTTACAGAGGCCAGTGTGTCTGGAGCTGAGTGAGGGAGAGAAGGCAAGGAGAGGAAATCAGAGTGGTAGCAGGGGGCCAGGTCATGAAAGAACCTGCGGTCAGAGAGGATTTTGGCTTTCCCTCTGAGTGAGACAGGAACCCTGGGAGGGTTTTGAGCAGAGAAGAAATGTGATTTGACTTAGGTTTAACAGGATCCCTCTGGCTGCTGAGTGGAGGATGCCCCTGGTTGCTCTATGCCCTTCCATGGGGACATATGGAAGGGACAGGAGCCTTCCTCCAGGCCCTACCCATGACCCCAGCCCACCATCTGTCTCCCCACAGCTAGAAAGGTACATCCAGATGAACCTGAGGTTGGAGCTGGCGCAGGCCCAGCAGCACATGGTCCAGAACCAGACAGCCACCATGCTGGAGCTGGGCACCAGTCTCCTGAACCAGACCACCGCCCAGACCCGCAAGCTGACCGACGTGGAGGCTCAGGTACCGGAGGGTGAGGGGGCAGCACTGGGGGGCCTGTGGAAGGCCAGGCTGGCTCACAGCCCTAGTCATCTTGCCCTGACCCCTGTCCCTGGGTGAGGTCAGGGCCTCCTCTGACCCTGTAGCCTCTTGGGGCTCCTCCCTGATGACCCCGTTACAAAGCTCTCCCACCAGGCCATGAGCCCAGGGTAGGGAGAGGGGGGAGGGTAGACACTGGGTTTGGCTCTTCTGCCTCTGTGACTCCAGTGTCTGGGTCCGTGCTGGGCACTGGGATGAGGGGATGCAGCAGCACACACCCCGCAAAGGACTCACAGGGCTCCAGGGGAAGGTGGATAATAAACAATTCATTAGAACTCAGCGGGCCAGTGACTCTGAAAGAGGAGGCCACAGGGAGCAGCGGAGAGGGAAGGAGAGGACAGGAGTATAAATGAGAGGGTAAGTGACTGGCTGAAAAGACACTGACAAATGGGCACATGTTGTTAAACCCCACTATGTACCAGGCACTGTTGGATGGGGCTGGTTCTAGTTTACAGCAGTAAACAAAACAGGCGTGGATCCCTACGCCCATGAAGCTTCCTTTCTAATGAGCACCAAGAAAACAAACAGGATAAATAACATATGTGTGTGAGGCGGTGGTAGCACTAAGGAGAAAGTAGCATGGACGAGATCAGTGGGGAGTGTGTGCCGGGAGTGGCGGGAGGGGCGAGTTGCAAGTTTAGACAGTACGGCCAGGAAGGCACCACTGGGAGGGTAGGATTGGAGCCAGGCTTACTGGGAGAACCTTCCCGACGGGGAGAACGGTATATGCAAAGGCCCAGGGGTGAAACGGTGCTGCCAAGCTCCAGGAGCGTCAGGGAGGCCGGTATGGCTGGAGTGACCCAGGGAGACTAGTGGGCTCAGACAGGTGATGGGGGCAGATGGCATCACAGGGCTTTGCAGGCCACTGCCGTGTGAGGTGGGAGCCACAGGGAGATTTTGAGCATAGGGGCTGCTTTTTAAGTCTGCCTCAGACTACCGAGCAGCCAAGGGCTGCAGGGAGCAAGGGCAGGAGCAGAGAGCCCTGTGAGTAGGCTGGCCCGGGTACGGCGGGAGATGGAGGCCGGGGCCTGAGTGGGGGCGGGGAAGCGCAGGGAAGTGGTCAGGTACCCATTTGGAAGGTGGAGCTGATGGGACCTGCTGATGAATTAGGGAGGGGGGGGGGGGGTCAAGGGTGACTCCTGCTGGGGTCCGAGCAGCAGGAGGAATGGAACTGCCATGCAGTGATGGGGAAGAGTAAATTTAAGAAGCAGATCATAAGCTCAGTTAGGGTCTGTGAGCGAGTGAGTGAGTGAGGAAATACTGAGAGGGTGGAAACAGGTCAGCAAGTTTCTGGAATGGCAGGGCCCAAGGTCAGGTGTGTGGCTGTTGGCAGGGCTTACATGGGCCCCCACCTCCCCCCACCCCCGCTCGCCGGGGCAGGTCCTGAACCAGACATCGAGAATGGAGGTCCAGCTTCTGGAGACGTCACTGTCCGCCAACAAGCTGGAGAAGCAACTGCTGCTGCAGGGCCATGAGCTCCACCGGCTGCAGGGCCACAGCAGGTGGGCACGGGCACCCTGGCCCTGGACAGACCAGGGCCGGGGCCAGGGCCAGCTGGGACCCAAGTGGGCTTGAGACCGAGGGTGAGCACCAGAGCCAGCCAGGGCTGGGCTCGGGCTGGGGCCGAGGTTGGAAGTTGGACTTGGGCTAGTGCCTAGGCTGGGGGGCGGGGCCAGAGCTAGGGGCCTGGATTAAGACTGGAGTGAGGGGACACTTGGGGGGCTAGGGCTGGAGCTAAAGCTGGGACGTGACCAGGGCTGGGGGAAAGACTGAAACCAGGGCTGGGGATCAGACTGAAGCCGAGAGTGAATGCGGACCCTGGGGCTGGCGGCCAGGCAGGCCTGGGGCCTGGCTACCCCGTCCTGGGTGGGACAGGGGACAGGCATTTTCCTGGGGCTCAGGACACGCTGCTTCTTTCTCTGTTCTTTCTATCTTTCCCTCTCTCTCTCCCTCTCTCTTTCTTTCCTTCTTTTCTTTCTTCCTTTATTTATTTCATAAATTTTTAACAGCTTTATTGAACTACCATTTACATACCATACAATTCACCCTGTACATTTTAATTTGATTTACTTACTTGTAAACAAATAAATCTGATCTCATCTACCAACTCTCCTTCCCAGAAGCAACCACAGTGACCAGTTTCTTTTCTGCATTAGCAGACAGTCTCTGCATTTATAAGCAAAGACACACAAGGGGAACACCCTTTAAATTACAAAGAAAGAAAGAGTCCCGGGGTACAGATAAGGCAGAGAGACATGGACCTCTGAAGCTGATTTCACCTTGGTTTCGAGCTGAGTAGAGAAAAAACACTGCCAAGGTCTGGCTGCTGGAGGAGGCACCGAAGCAGCCACAGGCCTGTGTACAGGGCGAGATGTTACTGTTGCTCACGTGCTGGGTCAAGATAAGGCATAAGGGGCTTCCCTGGTGGCGCAGTGGTTGAGAGTCCGCCTGCCGATGCAGGGGACACGGGTTCGTGCCCCGGTCCGGGAAGATCCCACATGCCGCGGAGCGGCTGGGCCCGTGAGCCATGGCCGCTGAGCCTGCGCGTCCGGAGCCTGTGCTCCGCAGCGGGAGAGGCCACAACAGTGAGAGGCCCGCGTACCGCAAAAAAAAAAAAAAAAAAAGATAAGGCATAAGGATCCTCCAGCTCCCTGTGACCTGGGGACCGTTAATGATAGTTTGTGCACCGTCTTATTCTTACTCTCCACCGTGAGGGGGAAGGACTGGGACGCTATCAATCACTCTGAATTGAATTACCAATGCCTAGAGACCAGTGAAGATGGAGGATATGATCAATAAGCTCTTGGCCCATGGAGACAGCCAAAATTCTAGAACACAGTGTGCCCCAATTCTCTCTTTTCCTGCGGCATAATTTGGGGTCCAGGGAAAATTCCTCCTGCCCTGGCTGGACTCATTTTCTTAGTCCGGAGAATGGGTTGGCATAGCCTCATGTATAGGAAAACATCTCCCTCCTACCCCTATCCCTCAGCCACCCACCCACCCACAGCAGAGGCAAATATGTATGCACAGTCCCTTTTTAAACCCAAGTGAAGCAGACTACTCCTTGGCACATTGGTTTTTTGTCTCGTTTTTTCAGTTATCCTAGAGATGGTTCCATAACTGCATGACACACTTGCCCGTTCTTTCCTCCAGCTGCATAATGTTTCACTGTATGGCTGTCCCCGCATTTATTTCCCAGTCCCCAATTAATGGGTATTGAGGTTGTTCCAGTCTTTTACGATTCCAACCAGCGATGCTATGAATAACATTCCCATATCTTATTGCACACACGTGAGCAAATCTGTAGGCTAAAATGCCAAAAGTGCAAGAGCTGAGTCAAAAGCTTCTTTCTTTTTTAAGACTCTTTTTTTTTTAAAACTCATTACAAAAATGCCTCATGCTTATTAGACAGTCTTACTTATCAGACAATAGAGACCTGTGCAGAATGAAAGGGAAGGTCAGTCCCCTCCACCCACCCCCTCCTCTCCACCCCCGTCTGCTCAAACCTGCTCTGCAAAAGTAACAGCACTTAGTGGATTTTTTTTTCACATTCGCTAGAAACACAGGCGCCACTATGTCCTTCCACGTGTCCATCCACGCCTTTTCCTATAAGCTCCCCAGTATCCCTCTACATATACATTAATACTTTTTTCTTTCTCTTTTAATTTCCCACATGTGGGGTTAGACTAGAGGTACTGATGCGCCAGGGCGCCCACTCCAAGTCCCCGGCATCTTTCCAATTCTGCGCAAATGCTCTCAGCCTCCTTCCCCTTCACCGCTCCGGAACATTTCCAGGGACACCAGAACAGAACAGACTCAGCCAGTCCTGGCTGTTGGCATTTTGGCTGTTTTGTTTTTCCCTATTACAACCCGTCCTCCAAAGGGCATTCATGCCCATGCTCCCTGGAGGTTATCTCTGGTGAGTGGACGGCTAGGTCAAAGGGCACGCATATTTGGGATTTGATAATGTCTACCAGGTCGCTGCTGTGTCCCTCCCACCCCACCTCTTTCCTCTACTGGACTCCAATCCATTTTACTCCAAGGCCAGGTCTCTCTTTCCTCCCCTCCGCACTCTGTGCTATCTGTGGGCACGGACCTCCGGGCTGTGTAACCCTGGGCGGGACGCTACCGCTCTGAGCCTCAGTGCGGGTCTGAGTCTCATCCCCGGGCCCAGGGGAAAGCCCGCGAGTGTGACTGCAACGTGGGGACGGCGGGTTCACGCCTGTGCGCCCCCGCCCCGCAGCGCGCTGGAGACGCGGGTGCAGGCCCTGGAGACGCAGCAGCAGGCGGAGCTGGCCAGCCTCCGCGGCGAGAAGGAGCGGCTGCGGCGCCTGCTGGGCCGCCAGAGCGGCGCCCTCGCCGGCCTTGAGCGCAGCCTGCGCGCCGCCAGCAGCAACTCCAGCCTCCTGCAGCGCCAGCAGAGCCAGCTGCTGGAGTCGGTGCAGCGCCTGGTGCGCGTCGTGGCCCAGGGCCCGGGTGAGCAAAGGGGGCCCGCCAGGTGCGGGAGGAGGGGAGGAGAGGGCTGGGAGACCCCGCTTACCCTCCCGGTTCACGCCAGTCCTGGAAGCTGCCTCGGGAAAGACCACCCCCCGCCCCCACCTATGAAACAGGAATAACACCAAACAGTAGTAATAATGGTGATGACAACAGTCCTAAGAGGAACCAATGCAGACTCTTGCCCCGACTCCACGTGTGACCTTGACCGGCGTTCGTTTCCCCATGCGTTTAATGGAGGTGATGATAATAAGAAGGATACCACCAGCCCAGACTGAGGAGTCCGGGGTCCAGGATCCACCCTCCATCTTCACTTGCTTGGGCTTGCCCCCCTCCCCAGGCCTCAGCTTCCCTATCTGCAGAATGGAGACGTTGGACTCAAGGCCTCCCAAGGACTTCTCTTACCCTAATGCCCCCTGCCCCTAAGCCCTAGAGGGCCAAACAGAAGTGGGGAGGCACCTGTGGCCCAGGCTTCTGAGAAAGGAGGACAATGGCCGGCCCCGCTCCCCATCCCTCACTTCTAATGGGACCGACTTCAATCACTCAGTTCCAGATTCAATCACTCAGTCAACAAGCACTTACTGCGCCAGACCCGGTGCTGGGTGCTGCGGATACAGCTGTGAACAGCAGAGTTCCACAACTGTCTCTTGCAAAAGATGCCCAACACCTGTCTGTGGGTCTCTGAGGGAAGGAGGAGGAAATACATATTTGTTAAGTGCCTACTATGTGCTAGATGCCCTGCTAGCAGTGTTCCTGAAGTTTCCAGTGGTTAAGAATCCGCCTGCCAATGCAGGGGACATGGGTTCGATCCCTGGTCCTCCGGGAAGATCCCACATGCCGTGGGGCAACTAAGCCCGTGCTGCAACCACTGAAGCCCACATGCCTAGAGCCCGTGCTCCACAGTAAGAGAAGCCACCGCAATGAGAAACCCACGCACCACAAGGAAGAGTAGCCCCCGCTCGCCACAACTAGAGAAAGCCCGCGCGCAGCAACGAAGACCCAATGCAGCCAAAAAAAAAAAAAAAGCAATAGTGATGGATTCCAGACACTATGGCTGGCAGTGATTTACAGACAGAGGATGGCACCATGGCTCCATCTACGTTGGGCAGGCCCCACCAGATAGGGGTGTGAGGCCTGAGGTAGCCACAGGCAAGAGAGGTGAACACCTTCCAAACCATGAGATTAGGAGTGACCCGAACCCATCACTGGCTTGTGCATAGAGCCGTAGCAATGAGGCTGCCTAAATTAATCCTGTAGCTCTGCCAAAGGCACGGGGCCTGGGCCCAACACTTCTCCCCACAGGCTCACCGCTAACTCAGTCTCCAGCTGTGGCCCAATGTCTGCTCACCAGTCTGGGTGAGAGGTTGTATAGGGGACTTTGCCTCAGGCACCCTTTGACCAAACGCCTGTCCTGCCCCACTGTCACCAGGGAGAGGCACTACGGGTTGTTTCTCCCTACTGTCTAGATGGAGAAACTGGAGGAAGATTAGTCACCAGGTGTAGAACAGAAGATTGGATGGAGACGGGCACAGGAACCAGGCATCCATGAAGGCCAGCATGAAGCCTGCACCCCCTCTCTGCACAGCTTTGTCCTAGGCAGGTGGAGGCTGGCAAGGGGTGGAGAACTCAGGGCATTCAGAAGGTTAGAAGGACGGGGACACAGGTAGAAAAGACCTAACCCATGCATGGTATCAGAAGCAGCATTCGTTAACGAGGTCTGTTTGTCCAACCTTGTATGGGCTCAGTGGTGGAGACCCAAGGGGAGGTGGGTAGTAGGAAAGGTACTGGCTCTCCAGTCAAATGGACCAGAGTTCAAGCTCTGGCTCCTTCACTTACTAGCCCTGGCACTTTGCACAGGTCATTTAACATCTCAGAGCCTTGATTTTCCTCACCTATAAAATGGGAATAATAATAGCTCCTATCTCTCAGAGTTCTGGCACAGAGCATCCGATGAGTTCATACACATGAAGGGGCTGAGCATGGTGCCTAGGGCCAAAAGGGGGTGAAGCTGGTACAAAGATTAAGCGGGGTCCAGGCTGAGGCCAAACTATGTTGCATGTCAATACTGGTCCATCCTTGCTCTTATGCTCCCTGAAAATACTTTTCCTGGCCCCAGACTGCCCCTGACAGTACCTGGCTGAGAAACACTACAATGCATGGTGGGTATTTCACTTTTATTGCTATGATTGTCGTTAAGGCTATTGTTGTTGACTAAGGAAAACAATAGTGGACAGACCCTGAGAAGAGTGGCTGGAAATCTGAGGCCAACTCCTAGCTCTGCCCTTGCCTAGCTGGGAAAGTTGGGCCTGTCCCAGCTCGCCTCTAGGCCAGCAACCTACCAGGCTTGGCTAGACTCCAGTTCCCCAGGGACCAGGGGGCTGGCAGATGGGGCCGTGGAGACTCTGCCCAGGGAATGTTTGTGCACAGACTGGGATGGATTTGGGGCCTTTGTCCCTTCATTTGTGATCTGGGAATAGCAGCCTCATTTCAACAGGGCCTCAGCTCCAGGACCCAGGATCCAGGTTCAAGAATGAGGCCAAAACAGGAAGTCCCACCCCTTGGTAGCTTCCTGGTTCCTCACTGGTCAGGATACCTATCCATCTGGAACTTTAGCCCTATCCTTGGATACCCACCTACCCACAGATTGGTTTCTGGTGGAATCATAGCCCAAACCTCTAACTGGATCCCAAAAAAGGAGCCAGAGAGGGTGTTTGAAACCTCTGTAGTTTAGTTACCAACAGTCACTTTTTTCAGGTTAAGCCTGAAGGCCTCCAGGGCCCTGGTGGGATTTGGCCGTTAAATTAATATTCTCCCTTAAGGCCAGAGGTCAGCTCCCAGGGAGGGCATAATGAGGGGGACCCACCTAAGAGCTGCAGGGATATCCAGCTGGTAGAGTGGGCTGTGGAGGGGACCCTGGGTCTCCTACCCGAGAGAGCTCCAAGGACAAATCCCCTATAAGACCTGGAGAGAGGGAAAGCCCTGCCCAACCCCTCCCACCCGACCCAGCTGTGTGGCGTTGAGCCAGTTACCTCACTTTTGGGCCTCAGTTTCCTAGTCTGTGAAATGCGGAAGTACCTCAGTGGAGTTCAAGCCCCAATTACCTGTCCTGGAAAACTCTAGCAGCCTCATCTCTGCCCTTCCTGCTTTGAGCCTCATCCCCTCCAATCTCTGTTCTATCCTCTGGCCAGAGGGCTCTTCTTCTGCAGAGCCTGGGCTCCTCAGCCTTGCATTCAAGGCTGAAATCTCAGCCTCATCTCTCCTTCCTTAATGTTGCTCTCTGGTCCGTCAAACAGCCAGAGTTCCCTCTGGCCTTAGCTCTGGATTTGGGTGTGAGTCATCTCCTCTTTGTGGCCTCAGCCAAATTCCCCTCACCTCACCCCGAACCCTGCACACACAGGACTGTTCCCGCCTTGGAGCCCGTGCATATGCTGTTCCCTCTGCCTGAGACACTCGCCCCTTCTCCACCTGGGTGGCCTCTGCTCCTCATCCAGGTCCCAGCTCACTGTCAGCTCCTCTATGAAACCTTCCAGGGTCCAATATCTCTCCCTATCCCCAACGCCTCCCAGCCCAGAACCTGGCACAGAGCAGACGGGAGTGCCCACCTGACCCCTTCCCTCTCTCCTTAGCTCACTTCCAATTGTTTTTACCTTGTCCCATTGCAGCCTCCATGAGGGCAGCTGAGCAGGTGTTCCAGGACTGTGCAGAGATCCAGCGCTCCGGAGCCAATGCCAGTGGCATCTACACCATCCATGTGGCCAATGTGACAGAGCCCAGAAAGGTTAGGGGGCTCCCGGAGGGCTGAGGCTATCAGAGGGTGCTGAGCCAGAAGACTCTCAGACAACCCTCCACCCCACCCCGCCCTACCCCCACCAACGTCACCTCCAGGCCTTGTCCAACATCTGAGATTCCAGAGAAGGTGGGGGTGACCCTACCCTCTGGAGCCCGCACTCATTCAGGGGTCAGATCATGCGGTTAAAGCAGAAGTTCCCAAAGTTGGCAATGCATCCTTCTCCAGCATGTTTGCCTGGGATGCTTTTAAGTTAGAATAGCAATAAATGGTTCTGTGTTGGTTCAGATAATGCTAGCTGATACAGCAAACAAACCTGCAAGAATTTCAGTTCCAGGGGCTTAACACAAAGAAGTTTATTTCTAATCTACTTACAGTCCAGCTGAAGGTAGGTGTGGGAGCTTGCTTTAGGTGGGAAATTAGAGACTGGGGCCGATGGAAGCTCCACCGTCTTCAGTGAGTGGCTCCCAAGCTTACCCAGAACTTTGAGGCCCAGTTATCAGATGTGTGGGGGGAGGGCAGTCAAGGGAAAATGTGGATGTCAGGAGGGAGGGTTTGGGGGCCAGGCCCAGAAGTGGAAGAGTCTGGGGAACAACTAGCCAGTCTTCCCACTTCATATTCCCTTTTCAGTTTTCTTTCAACCCAGCTGAATATATCAAGGAGGATGGCTCAGATTATCTTCAACAGTTCTCACACACCTGCTAAATCCCCCTTTTAACAAAGAGAGATCAGGCCCTCAATCTCTAGCTAGAATTTTCTAACACTATTTTGTTTTCATTATATGTATTTTTACAATTATCTGAATAAAGACAAGTGTTACTAATTTTCCCTCTATGGTACTAATAAGATTTCCTTTTAAGATGCATTTAGTCTGAGTATTTATTTAAGTAAAAAAAAAAGACACCATTTTTTTAACATCTTTATTGGAGTATAATTGCTTTACAGTGGTGTGTTAGTTTCTGCTGTATAACACAGTGAATCAGCTATACGTATACATACATCCCCATATCTCCTCCCTCTTGCGTCTCCCTCCCACCCTCCCTATCTCACCCCTCTAGGTGGTCACAAAGCACCGAGCTGACCTCCCCGTGCTATGCTGCTGCTTCCCACTAGCTATCTATTTTACGTTTGGTAGTGTATATATGTCCATGCCACTCTCTCACTTCGTCCCAGCTTACCCTTCCCACTCCCTGTATCCTCAAGTCCATTCTCTATGAAAGATAACATTTTTTTTTTTTTTCTTTTTTTTGCGGTACGCGGGCCTCTCACTGTTGTGGCCTCTCCCATTGCGGAGCACAGGCTCCAGACACGCAGGCTCAGTGGCCATGGCTCACGGGCCCAGCCGCTCCGCGGCATGTGGGATCTTCCCGGATCGGGGCACGAACCCGTGTCCCCTGCATCAGCAGGCAGACTCTCAACCACTGCGCCACCAGAGAAGCCCGAAAGATACCATTTTTAAAGTAAATATTTTATATGAAATTAGTTCAGCTATGGTGGAATTTGGGAAGGTGTGAATAACTAAAATTTGGGAACACTGATAGAGAGGGAAGAGCTGGCCTGGGAGGCAAGAGATCTGGGCTCAAACCTCAGCTTTACTTTTGACTCATTTGCCTTGAGCAAGTCCCTTCCCTTCTCTAGGCCTCAGTTTCCCTTCCTGCAACTTCTGCTACCCTCACAACAGATGCCACTGTCTTCTCTCCCTGAGCAGAACTTCACCATCTCAGAGCCTTTACTCCTGCTCCCTCCACTGGAAACACTATTCCCACTGATCTCTGTCTGGCAGGCACATCATCATCCAAAGCCTTGTTCCAATGCCACCTCCTCTGGGAAGCTTTCCAGGATTGCCCCGTGACTCCTTCTTGGGAACTCTCTTTGTAGCTGCCCAAATGTTCCTATTCAATAGTCTGCTAGCCCTATCAGACCTAGCCCTATCAGTCTGCTAGCCTCCTCCAGACCAAGCCAGCCCTGGGGGTTAATTTATCTCTGATTTGTCTCTGATTCACCTAGTACAGGGGCAGACACCAAGTGTTTCCTCATCAAACATTGAAATGTACTGAGCTGGCTGGAAAAAATAATATGTGAACAAAAGTTAAACTGAAAGATGTGATTGTGGTGGATGGTAAGCTGTTTGAAAGAAAGAATCATTCTGTCTTATCCATATTGGCATTCCCCATGCCTTGAATGGAACCTGGCACCTAGTAAATGCTCAGAAAACATTTATCTGCTGAATGTAATAACATTTCCTTTTTTTTTTTTTTTTTTTGTATTTTGGCCATGCCGCCCGGCATGCAGGATGGTTTCCCAACCAGGGATCGAACCTGGGCTTCCACAATGAAAGCACAGAATCCTAACCATTAGGCCACCAGGGAACCCCTGTAATAACATTTGCTGAGTCTACACCATGTGCCAAGCACTTTACATCTCTTGGCATTTAATTCTTACAGCAACCCTGCAATAATAGCGAGTGAAAGGCCTCCATTTACTGAGTTCCTAGTATGTTATGTGCCAGGCTCTGTTCTTTTGATGGATGACTCATCTCATTTAATTTTCACAACAATCCCAGTGTGCAGATGAGAAACTGAGGCACAAAAAGGTTAAGGTATTAACATCCCCATTTTACAACTGAGGAAAAGAAGGCTCCGAGAGGACATCACTTGCCCACCGTTTCAGACAAATGAAGGCAACAGGTGGGGGATTCGGACCTGGATCCTTGAGATGCCCTTGACCACCAAGCTCACCTGTTGCTCTGTGAGGTTCTGTCAGCCAAATCACCCTCGGGCTGGCCCAGACCTGGCTTCTGGCTGCCTCCTGGGGCTTCCAACTTCCCACCTCCCCAATTTCCTCCAGGTATTCTGTGACATGGAGGCCAGTGGAGGTGGGTGGACCCTCATCCAGCGCCGTGAGAATGGCAGCATGAATTTCCAACGGAACTGGAAGGATTACAAACAGGTAACATTTCTGCCCTGGGGAGGAGCTTGTCAGCCCTGAAACCTGGGGCAGGAAGTGGGTTGTGGGCAGAGGTCTGGTTTGCCCCCAACCCTTCTCAGAAAATAAATCAGCCCACCTGAACCAACTGCCTTCAAAGAGATTTGGCCAGTGCAAATATGCTATCAGGGACTCCATCACCCGAAATTGAACCCTCTTTTTGCAAGTCCTGACATATATCCTAAGAATGAAAGTTTAAGTTTTATTTTGTTTTAATTTTTGGAAAAGATAATACATATACCTTGCTAAAAATTTTTAAAGAATACAAAAAAGGGAAGAGAAAAAAGTGATCTCCGCTGCTCACCCCTGGCTGCATTGCTTAAATGAATGTCTTTGTCTTAGCACACATACATGACTACATCTGCAGGAGAGATGTTTTAAATTCAGAATTGCTGGCTCTCACCCCTGGCTGCATTGCTTAAATGAATGTCTTTGTCTTAGCACACATACATGACTACATCTGCAGGAGAGATGTTTTAAATTCAGAATTGCTGGCTTACTCACCCCTGGCTGCATTGCTTAAATGAATGTCTTTGTCTTAGCACACATACATGACTACATCTGCAGGAGAGATGTTTTAAATTCAGAATTGCTGGCTTAAAGACCCCATGCATTTTACAAGACGAGGAATAGTGCCTGATTGTCTTCCAATTTTTTAATTAAATTTTGGATAAAGGATTTTTGGCAAGCTGACTTAAAAGCTCTTAAAGTTTTTAAGAGCAAAAGAAATAGGAAAAGATACACAGAAATACAATACTATTTTTTGTGTGTCTGCTTGCTGTTCATTTGATAAATACTTTTTAAAAGTACCAAATTAATCTATGGGTGTTCTTGAACCAATTGGGTTTTAAAGAATCACTCAAATGGCAAAGAGAAATAGGGTGCTCAGAAGCAGAAATATGCAAAAGACTGCTGAATATTAACCATTAGGCTAATAAGGGGTACAGCGTGACTAAAATGGGGAGTGGGGCTTAGGTGTGCCCTGTCCTCGGTGCTGAATTATTGTTCTGCCCAAGGGCATTGGTCACGTGTCACTCTGGGACACTGGTGACTCCCAATGCTCTTAGCTTTACATTCCTATGTTACTGAAATTTTGCAGTGGCTGCCATGTCACTGAACAATGTTTGCTCTACCACTTATGCAGCTGATTTAATTTTTTAATTGAGATGTAATATTCATGTAGCTAAGTGCACAAATCTGAAGTGTAAGACTCAGTGAATTTTCACATATGTATTCACCCATGTGACCACCATTCAAAGCTAGATATACAACACTTCCAGCACCCCAGAAACACTCCTGTGTCCCTTCCAAGTCAAGACTCCTCTAAAGGTAGTAGCTATTCTTTTTTTTGTTTTTTTTTTTTTTGGGGTACGGGGCCCTCTCACTTTTGGCCTCTCCCCTTTTGCAGCACAGGCTCCGGACGCGCAGGCCCAGCGGCCATGGCTCACGGGCCTAGCCGCTCCGTGGCATGTGGGATCTTCCCAAACCGGGGCACGAACCCGTGTCCCCTGCATCGGCAGGCGGACTCTCAACCGCTGCGCCACCAGGGAAGCCCGGTAGTAGCTATTCTGACTTCTACCACCACAGACTTCTTTTTCTTTGCCTGTTCTTGAACTTTATAGATTTCAATTATGATTCATGTGATTTCAGTTATTTTTAACAGGCTTTTACAGTCACAAAAGTCTTAGTCTTTTTGCTCTAGGAGTTGGGGAGCTCCTAGCAAAGTGGTTTTGGGTAAGTGTCCCCAGAGCCCGGCCCAGCCCAGCTCCTTAAGCAGAGGCGTAGCCTTCCTCCTCGGCATGCAGCCTACCCCCATTCTCCTCTTCCCCAGGGCTTTGGCAACCCAGCCGGGGAGCACTGGTTAGGTAACGAGGTGGTGCACCAGCTCACCAGCAGGGCAGCGTACTCTCTGCGCGTGGAGCTGCAAGATTGGGAAGGCAACGAGGCCTACGCCCAGTATGAGCATTTCCAGCTGGGCAGCGAGGGGCAGCTGTACAGGTGGGCTTGGGGCCCAGGCTCATGGGTGGGCTGGGAGCCCTGGGCTAGTGGCTACAGAGTATGCACCAACGGTCAGTCCCTGGGCGTCTCCAGTTCCTGCCATCTGTCCCCCATTTGGGCGCACGTCATGGGATCTGGAGGCGGCTGGTTAGCACTCAGCACATCCTGGCCACTGGGTGGGGTGGAGAGAATGTCGCTGACACTGCCATGCCAGGAACAGGAAGGGGCCTTCCAAGGTCAGTCACCCCGAGGCAATCATTTTACAGAGGCCCAGAAGCGGGGAGGTGACTCTCCCAGCCTGTCCTATGCTGTGGGGTGAGGTGGAAATTTCAGGCTGGGAATCAGGGGAACTGGGCTCATTCTGGCTCTGCTCCAGCTCAGTGTGTGAACTCAGGCAAGTCAAGTGGGCTTCTCTGTACCTCTGCTTCTTAACCACAGGGTGGGCTTAAATATGAGCCCATTAGAAAATCATCAAGGTCTCTCACCCCTCCCTCAGCCTGGTTCTTGGCTCTGTTCAGGAAAAGGAACGAACATTTCTTGAGCACCTATTATGTTCCAGGCAAATGACTCCATTTAATCCTCCCCACAACCTTCTGAGGTAAGCATTGCTGTACCTGCTTTAACGATGTGGAAACTGAGACACAGAGCTTAAGTCCCCTGCCCAAAGTTACAAAACAGGTAGGGCCTGGTTTTGAATTCAGTTTTGCTGCCAAAACTCATGGTGTTTCTCCTACATGATGTTACGTCTCTCAGAAACTCAAGGATCTTAAAGATAAGCTAGCTTGGAACCAGGACAGAATTGAATTCATAGACTCATGCTCTAGGGCCACAAAGGACCTCACATGTCATCTGGTTCTTCACATGATGCTAGAATCTCCTCCACGGCCACATTCATCATCCAGCCATGCTGGAATGCCTTCACTGATGGGAGGTCACTTCCTCCCAAAGAATCTCTGATGACTCTCTGTCCACCTGCATTGTATGTCTAATTCCACCTCTGAGGGCTTCCCTGTGATGTGCCCCCAACCCCTCTATTAAATGCCCCTGGTTCCTCCAGCTAGCTGGTTCTGACATCCCTTCTATGGAACCCAACCCAGTCTGATAATGTTCCTCCTTCAAGTGCAATGTCTAGAGCTGAATGAAACATCCCCGGCTCTGGGCTAGGCGGGGCTCAGCTGGATGCCTCCGACTCCATAAGCTGAACAGCGAGTAGCCACAACGTCCTGCTGACTCCTCTTTAAGCCACTGACCACCAAAGCCAAGGCTTAAATCCTGACTTTATCCCTATCTCCCTGAGCGACCCTGAGCAAGTCCCTTCACCTTCTCATCTGCAAAATGGGTGCCATAGGTGTACCTACCTCATTTAAAGTGCTGTGAAGCTTGAATGAGATACTACACATAGAGCATTAATGCTGGCACTTAGTATATGTTCAGCAAATAATATTATAACATTATATTATAATATTATAATTACTGTCCCCAAGCCAGCCCTTCACACACTTGGCTGGACTGCTCTGGGCAAGTTCACTGCTGTTCCCATCTCCAGTGCCTGGGACATGGTAAGTGCATAACAGGAAGCTGGGGGAGCCTCCCTTTCCTACACAAGTAACAGTTAAACCTCAACTCCATGACCCAATTCTTGGGCAGCAGCTTCTGTGGCCCTAAGTCCAGGATCTGCCATTTTTCTTGCGCAAGAAACATCGGGAAAAGTATCTCATTGTGCTAAAGAACATGGCCCTGGAGCCAAATTGCCTGGGTATGAACCCTGACTCTATCACTTGTTGGATTCATGGCCTTAGACAAGTTACTTACCTCTCTGTGCCTCAGTCTCCTCATCTGTAAAATATAGTATCTATGTCATAATTGAGATAACCTGCAGAAAACGCATAGCGTGTGGTAAGTGTTACATAAATGTTAGAGATATACAAACAATATATTCAAAGACAGAAATATAATATTTCTGCATCTATGTATATCTCAATTATTTATGTCCATTTATACAAGCATATACATGTATGTTACATTTGGAACCCCTTGCTGTGCTCCCCTCTGTGAATTTGATGCGCTCCCTCTGGCTTTTTATCTGAGACATGGAAAGCTCCCTGCCCATGGTTCCAGACTGTTATGCTCAGGTTTCAAAGGGCCCACATCTATGTGACCCTTTGCAGAGCCCTAAATAATAATAATGATATATTGAACACTTGCTCTGTGCCAGGCATGGGCTGGTTCTTGTCATTTGTGGAAGAATCAGACCTGCGCTCTACCCCTCAAAGTTGTTCACAGTCCAGTGTGTCGTGTGTGTCTGAGGGTGAGTGTGTCCACAAGCAAACCCACACCCCCAAGAAGACAGGAGTTGCCTAAGGGGAAAGCACAAGGGCATAGAGATGCTTGCGCTATCGGGGAGGGCTCCCTGGAGGAGGTAGTGCCTATGAAGAGTAGGCATTCTCCAGACAGAGAGAGGATAGAAAGGGCTCCCCAAGCAGCAGGGAGATTCTGAAAAGAAGGCAGAAAGAAGAGTTGACATGCAGCTGGCCACAGAAACCCCAAACCTGAGCAAGGCTCTTTCAAGGGCTCCGGGGATCGTAAGGAATAGGCCCTGCTCATTCAGGAAAAGCCTGGAAGATCCTGGAAAACACATAGGGACCTGGAAACTGCCAGAGAAGGGCTAAGGGGAGAGTGACAGAAACAGGTGCCGTCCCTGGGTCCCCACCGTACAGAGTCAGCTGCCTGGTGAGGTGGGGTGGATCCCCATAGGGAAGCCTAGAGGTGGCGAAACCTGGGCAGGCAGAAGCTGGAGCATGGGCATCAGGGTGGGAGGGGCACCCTTATTTGTCAGACACAATAATGGGAACCCTCTGGAGCCCGGCTGGGGTGCATGCATAAGACTGCAGAGAAGTGACCCACGGAGCGGGGTGGGGGAGGCACAGACAAGACACAGGCACACACTGACACCAGGCACAGGCCTTCCAGAGGTGCCCACACACCCAGACCAGGCAACAAGCACCAGATACACACAGAGATATACAGGGACACGCACAGACGCACATGCACATGTGGAGGGGCTCACCACACCCCTGGGGTACACACTTGAACCTTCAGGGCACAGACTCACACAAGTGTCATAGCCACACAAACAAGCACAGACACACACCCAGGCAAGTGTGCAAACATGCCTCAGAGAAGCCCTCTCAGGTAAACAGGCACATAATCTCAGGCACAAAGACATATTCCAAAGCACACACTCAGACCCACCATAGAGACTGCTGCACAAACTTAAACACACACATAAACACGCAGGCACGGAGACTTGTATCCGGATGCTCACGACCTCAGACACAGACTCACGCACCTCATGTGTCTCAATTGGGGGTGTCCAAGGACTCGTGTGTATGTTTGTGTTCCCCAGACCTGAGCCATGATTATGTCCAAAGTGCATCTGAGCAATGGGTCAACTGGGGCTTCCCGGCTCATGACTTGAGGGTCCCTTAGAGATCATAGATCCCCCTTCTGGCTCCCAGAGAGGAGGGGAAGGGAGGCTGAGGACTTGGGGCCAGTGCTACTGCAGTGACCCCATGAGATCATTCGGCTTTGTCCAGCACTGATTCCACACAGCCCCAGACTAAAGGTGACCCCAAACTTTAGCCTGAGCCCCGAGCCTGGCCTTGAACTGACATGACTGAACCCTCAAATGGAGCCCTCAATGGCCACAAGGAGAAGCTGGGACCATATGAGCAGGTGGGCCAGCCAGCCTGCCCCCACCCCAGGGAGCCCCTGGCCAGGTAGGCCTCTTGGCGGGGGATTTGCAACACCACTCATGCAAGCCCAGGGTGGCATATTTAAGGGCACAGTTAAGGCTTCACGGCTGGCCACCCTGAGCCAGCCCTGCCCTCACCACAGACAGAGAACACAGGTGATAGATGCAGGGACTGAGGTGGCCTCATGCCCAGGCCCCACATTCCCTCTGGATCCCAATGGGGGCATCTCGCAGGCCCTGCCCTGGGGAGCCAGGGCTTCCCTGAGCTGCCCCGGCTGCATCTGGTGTCCACTTGCCTCCACCCATAGGACCTTCTGTTGCTCCCAAACTGGCTCCCGCCTCAGCTGCCAGTGCAGCCCCTGCCCTGCTACAAGCCCCCAACACTCTCTCCTGCCAGGCTCAGTGGAAGCCTGTGCCAGCCATGCACATGGGCTGGGAACACGGGGACAGGATGGGACGAATCCACAAGCACCGAACGTGCCAGGCACTTACTGTGTGCCAGTGCTGCCCTGCACCTGTCACACACCGAGGTCACCCCATCACAATGACGGTTAATATACTATCGTTACCATTTTAACAGATGAAGAAACTGAAGCTGAGAGGCGAAGCAATCTGCCCAAGGCCACACAGCTGGGATTTGAATCCAGGCATTTTACCCCCAGAACTTGTGGTCATAATCACCACAAAGGCCTGGATGTGCCCGCCAGGGCCTCATAGCCTGACCAAGAAATAGAAACCCTCCCCAGCTGGCTGCAGGGGTGGAAGTCACAGGGCTGGGGGTGCCTCAGGGCCCTGATCCATGTGGGCTGGTGTGGTCAAGGAAGGCTTCCCGGAGGGCGTGAGTGGGCGTGAGGTGTGATAGGGCTGGGGTTGCCGGATGGTCAGCTGGGAAGGTAATGCACACAGCTCCCAAGTCAGGCCAAGTGGGGCTGGGATCTGTCTCTCACCCTCATTTGTTCTGAGATCTCAGGCAGGCTCCTGTGGCTCTTGGGAGCTCTGTTTCCTCTTCTGTAAAATGGGAATACTAAGGTATTTTGAGGATTAAATGAGAATGAATTAACCCATGTAAAGTGCTTTAAACAATGCCTGGCACATAGTAGATGTTCAAAAAAATGTTAGCCATTGTCCTCATTATTATTATTGTCACAATCATTCTCACAACTGGCCAAGACTCAGGTTCAGCCAGCTGAGGGAGGCCTGGCACGGGGTGGGCACTCTGTCCCCGCAGGCAGCAGACAGGGAGGGGAGATGCCTCAGCACAACCGGAGGGGAACCCCTTCCACAACCACCCCCAACCTGACTCTGGGCCCCTCTCCCATCACCACCTCCGGGTGGCCTCCAGGCTTTCCCTGAGTGGGTACAGCGGCTCGGCGGGGCGCCAGAGCAGCCTGGTCCTGCAGGGCACCAACTTCAGCACCCGCGACGCAGACAACGACAACTGCCTCTGCAAGTGCGCCCAGATGCTGTCCGGAGGTGGGTGCAGGGCGGGGTGAAGCCCCACCTCCCCACAGGCACGCCTGGCTGAATACCCCCATCCCCTCCCCACTTGGGTCCTTGTGCAGCCAGGTGCCATCAAGAAGTGGGTGCAGGTCAGGGTCTCGCTCACCCACGGGCTGGCCTGGCCGTGCCTCATCCATACCTTCCCCCTGACAGAATCCTTGAGGTCCCCTCCAAGGTCTCACCTCCTCCTAAAGCTGGCATCACCAGTTCTCCTCTGAGACCTCTGAGAAGCACTGAGAGTGGGGCCCAGGGTGCACCCTAGGGGGGTACAATGCCTAATCTGCCCCAACCCCAGGCCTGAGACTTCCTCCCCAACCCTCCTCCCAGGCCAAGCAGGATCTGGAGGCGGGAGACCTGGGTGGAGGGCAGAGGGGCAGCTGCCCACCAACTCTGGCTTAGGCAGTGTTTTCTGTGGGGAGAGACATCAGAGAGTGGGAGATGCGGAGTGAGAGACAGAATGGGAAGGACAGAGATCAGAGGAGACCTCCAGAGACACAGAGACAGGGACAGATGGAGACGAGAGAGACATCAGGATGGACAGACAGAGTGCTGGGCACAGAGCTACACGGGGACAGAGGGAAGTACAGAGGGAGAGATGGAGAGAGAAACACAGACCACAGAAAGACAGATGGACAAAGTGTGTGAAAGACAGAGAGACCCAGAAAGGTAGGGTAAGGGAGAGCAAAGAGAGACAGAGAGATCAGAGAGAGACACAGAGAGACAGACATGAGTGCACTGCCTCTGGAGGCCCCATACTGAGCAGCGAGTCTGGGAGCCTCCCTCCCCCACCAGCCAATGCCCGTTCCCACCCAGCCCCGTCTCCAGCAAGCTGGCTTCCCAGAGGAGCCACCAGCCCTGATTCATCTTTGGGGTAGGGGGCTGCCCTCACCCCACTGGCTAGGCCCCCACATCCCCAAAGCCTCTAACTCCCCCTCCACCAGGATGGTGGTTTGATGCCTGCGGCCTCTCAAACCTCAATGGCATCTACTACCCGGCCCGCCACCACGTGCGCAAGCTCAACGGCATCCGCTGGCACTACTTCCAAGGCCCCAGCTACTCACTGCGTTCTACTCGCATGATGGTGCGTCCCACAGACATCTAAGGAGCAGCCACGCCTGGAGGCTGGTCCCGCATGAGGACCTGGATGTGGTATCCTCTGAACAAGCTGGACCCAAACACAGGACACGATGCCAGGACCTTGTCCTGGATACCCTGGGTCCCCTGAGCCAGCCCTCCTTACCCCAGGAGTCCAGAAGAGCCACCTCCCTCCCTTTTTCCCTCAAGTTGTGAAATGGTGGGTGTTTGGGGGTTCCTGCCTCTTCATTGTCCCTATTTCCTCTTCTCTCCTGCCTCCTGCAGGGCCCTCCGGCCAGCTTGAGGGTCGCAGTACCCTGGATGAGCTGAGAACAGATTTAACTGGGCTCCTCAAAGGAATACACGGCTAGTGGTGGGATGTGAGGCAGGCAGGAAGGTATTTACAGGGAAACTGCCCAGATGGAGGCCCAGAGTCTGTCCCTGGGTTGTTGGGAAGGCCATCTCTTGTTCCAAGCTTTCTCAGCCTTGAGATGTCCTTGAACTTTCTGTTCAGGACTGAAGGAGCTGCATCCACCCTATAACGGGAGTTATTTCCACCCACATTGTCCACCACTCCTAGGCCCCAGCATCTAAAGCTCAGATGTGGTTTCTCAGGGGCTCCAGAAGATCTAAGAGGGATTCCTTTACCCCTTGAATGTCCTAGAATATATTCCAGAGAGAATAACTAGGACTCCCTTCTAAAAGTACCTGTGGTCAAGTGAGGGAGGGAAACACCAGGTTAAATCAACGTGAACCGGCATTCTTAGCTGCAGGCCTTGTCAGGGCCATTAGTGTGGTCATGTGCTTAGTGACTGCCCATGAAAGGGCTAGAGTAGGCAGCTTTCCCCAAATTTATTTATTTGAAAATGGGCCCTGATTATCCCAGAGCATCTCTCAGGGCTACGGATACCCTTGGAAAAAAGCTGGTCCTCGTATGTCATGAGCTGAAACCCCAGGTCACTATCCCCACCCCCAGCTGCTTTCACCATTTCTAGCTACGAGGGCCACAGTGACATTCTCAGCCTCTAGAAACAACTGGAAGGAATCTTTGGGTTAAAACAGATACACCGTCGCTGAAGAAGGGTCTAGAACTAAGTTTCCTGTCTGTGCTCCAGGGCTTCTCTGTCCGTAGGAAGCCAGATCTCTGTCTGGGGGCTGCCCTCAGCACTCCCTGTGACCCCAGCTCAAGTTCAGGGGCTCTTGGGGCCCACTCTGCCTCGAACAGGACACCAATCGCTGGGTCCAGATCCCTCCTGCCTCCAAGGCAGAGCCCCTAGCCTCCTCTTGCCTTGTCCAACAGCGATGCTGCAGCTAGGGCTCCATGGAGACTGGGCCTTTGCTGAGTCTGGGAGACCACGGGCTTCTCATGAACTTTTTTCAGAGAGGGGCCACAGCCACTCTGCCACCCAGTCCCATTACTGTGTCACCCTCCTCAGACCTGATGAGGCCACCAAAGTCCTGTCATCCTCAGCCAACACCCGGACCCAGCCCACGACCGACCTGCCCTACCTCCAGGTTGCACCTCTGTCTTCAGAAGGCTTTCTCCTGGATGGGGCTGCACGGTGGAAATGGGGCACCTTCATCCCACTGGGCTCTGCCCCCGCCCCTGGGTCCCACCTCGGCCAATCCACTGATTAAACCCAGCACAGATCAATGCTGATCTCCTTCAGGGAAACCAAAGGATGTGGTTGCTAATGGTGACTTCAGGCAGGAGGGAAAAGTACTTAGGGGCAGGTGGCTGCCCAGAAGGCTGACACCGCCCTATCCAGCATTTGCTCGGCCAGCCTTTATTTAGTGTCTACGGTGTGCAGTGTGGTGCTGTTGGCAGGACTTAGGAGTCAGACAGCCCTGCTGCAGCTCTTGAACTTGAAGCCAGTGGCTCAGCCTCTCAAGGCCTCAATCATCTGGTCTGTGAAATGGAGATGGTGGTATTCCGTCCTTGCTGTGATGGGACAGGAGGAAATGAGACCTTGTATTGCAACTTCTTAACAGAGCCTGGCATGAAACAGGTGCCTAATAAATGTTAGTTCCCAAAGAGGTGCATGGGGTGGAGAAATCGGCCCCCTAGTGCATGCCACCCCTTCTTCTGGACCCAGGGAAGGTAAGCATTTTATTTTTGTATCTACAGCATTTATTTTTGTACTACAAGTGTATAGGCAATGCTGTGTGCCCCAGGAACAGAACTCCTCTGGGTGGGATGAAGCCCCAAATCCCTGTCTGCACTCCAGTTGTCTAAGAAGACCAAGAAGCCGATTTGGGTAACGCTCACACATCTGTTCTTTAAAATATTCATCCTTCCTTCTTACTTTCCTTCCTTCTCTGTGCCAGGACTCTCAAGTGCAAGGGATAGAAACCTTATCCTGAGGAATGGATTGACTCACATACAGGGAGTCTAGGGATGGATTCAGATGTGGTTAGATCCAGGTGCCCAAGTGATGTCCCTCCCCACCTCTCAGGCCTGCCATCCACCATGCTGACCTCATTTTCAGTCACGTTCTCTCCTGAAAGATGGCTCCAGCAGCCCCAGGCTTGTGTCCTACCTGCTAAGCATCCTTCAGACAGAAAGCTCCCCTGTCCCAGGGATTCCAGCAAAGGCAGGATTCTTTCCAGGCAGGACTGGTCCTGTGTCCATCCCTGTGCTTATCACTGTGATTCTGGTTGACCAGACCTGGGTCATACTACCATGCCTGGAACCAGGGGGTGGAGTTAGTTCCCTCCAAGTCGTGTGGACTGGCCTTGGGGAAACTGAGGAGCCACTTTAGGAAGCAGGGATGCTGGGCAGGCAAGAACAGAGGTTCACTTTTTCTCTTTCCATCTCTCAGACTCCCATCTCTCTTATCTCCATCTCTGCCTCTTCTCCTAGCCTCCCTGCCCCCAAGGCCTGCCCCTCAGGCTCCAGCTAATCCCTGGTTTGCCCCAGACTATCTAGGACACTGCTGTGTTCTGCCCAGAGGTGTCAGACCCTGGTTCGCAGTCCAGGCTCTGTCGCTGGAGCAGAGCCCCTGCCCTCTCTAAGCCTCCAGTTCTCATCTGTGCAATAAGGATGGAGCGCCTACAAACATCTAAAAGAGAGCAACGCTGACTCACCGTGGCTGCAGACATGAACAGCTAAAGGATTCTGGGTGCACAAGGCCCTAGGGGACCTGGCTGGCGAGGTCTTGGCCTTGGGTGGGTCTCCTGGAGGCCACCGCTTGCAGGACCTGGCTTCTGAGATACCTACATCTGCAGGTTCCTATGTAGAATCCTTGTCCCCTCTCCCTGCATCAGACCAGCGTTCCCCCATTTTAGTAATGAAGAAATTAGAGCTCAGAGAGGGAAAGAGTTTCATCCGAGCAGCACAGCCAGTCACCACCTCCAGTGCACTTGCACCTGTCAGCTGCCTCCCTTGTCCAGAGCTCTCTGGAGGCACCTCGGCACCGACCACAAAAATGCTGGAGTGGTGTCCCCTCCACCTATATCAAGGGCTGAAGGAACTTTCTGGAAAGTTTTCCAAGACTAATCTGCCTTTCCCACTGGCACCTGGTAGGTCCCGATGGAGCCAGGCAGGCAGAATGCATTGTTCCCGCGATCTCTGCACGTTCGCAGCAAAGGCAGTTGCCACACTGGGGGAGAGAGTTCACTGAGCACAGCCCAGAGACAACAATCATGGGTGGGGTAGGAGGTGGCCCTTTGCAGAGGGCAGGGGATAAGTCAGCATCAGGATGGTTTGTCCTGCTGGCTGGGTGATTTGATCCCTTTTTCCAGACTTTCCGCCCCTCAGTGTCCATCTGGGCCTTCACCTCTCTCAATGAAGATGCTTCGGAAAGCTAACAGTGTTGCCTTGGCAACAGCAGCATCAGCATCTTTTGATGGAGCAGCCCTTCTGAGAATGGAATCTGGTCCAGGCCACATCCAACAAAAATGTGTTACTTTCTTGTGTTAGATTAACGTGTGATGTGGCCTGGGAGCTTCTGTTGCCTGTGTCCCGAGGGCAGGGAAGTCCAATGGCCTTTAGCATCCAACACATTCCCCCCTCCCCTGTAGGACCTCTCTGAGCCTCACTTTCCTCATGTGCACAATGCAGAGACTGTGATCTAGTCACGGGGAAGTCGTGCAAATTCAGTTCAGCGGTGGACATCTAGGCCTGGCACATTCACTCGTGTATTTATTCATTCATACACGTATTCATTCTTTCACATGGCAGGGACGTACTGAGGACCTGCCTGGGCCAAGGCCTGCCTCGGTGATGGGGAGGGAGCAGCAAACGAGACAGACAGATGGCCACAGCCCCGAAATCATAGAGCTTAACAGGCTAGAGGGAGAGACCCGCCAAAATAAAATTTAAAAAAAATTTTTTTATTTAACTAAATTAACTACTTAATATATTGTAAGTGAAGAAAATAAACAGGAGTTACAGATAAAAGATTTCAGAGGCAGGGTGATCAAGGGAAGGACTCTCTGAAGAGGGACACTTAAATTGAGGACTAAAGGTGAGAAAGAGGCAGCCAGGTGAGGAGCTGGGGGAAGAGTAGGCCCACTGGAGGGAACAGCATGTGCAAAGGCCCTGAGGTAGTTGTGAGGAACCATAAGGAGGCTAGTGTGGGAGAGTGATGCCACTGAGCCAAGGGAGAGTGGTGGGAAAAGGTGCCCCCGACACCTGTTTCGGAAATCAACTCCCCACCCCGGTGCCCACGAAGGACTGGATCCAGCACCACTCTGCCCGAGTTGCTGTGGAGCTGGGGCAAATTCCTGCCCCTCTCTAGACCTCAGTTTCCTAATCTGTAAAATTCAGGAGAGGGATCGCCTCTGCCTGAAAGTCATCCAGACCCTGGGTCTAACGTCTGTTGTGTCCACTGCCCTGAGCCTGTGCCACCAAGGGAGTCAGAAGGAGGAAGAGAAAATAAAAGTCTTGCCACTGGGCTAAACAGGAGTGAGGGGCCGGCCAGGGGCTCGTGTGGGGATAAGGGGCATTAACTGCATGGCTCCTCCATGTTAGTTCTACACACACCACTTCTGAATCCTAGTGGGTTCTATTATTGCCCCTGTTTTACAAACGTGGAAACTGAGGCTAGGAGAGGTAAAGTGCTTTGCCTGAGGTCGCACAGTGAGTTCTGGTACAGGCCAAGCTGCTGTAGCAGAAAGACCCCAAAACTCAGTAAGTTAAATATTTCTCTTTTGTGTAAGTCTGGAGTTGAGCCATCCATGTCTGGTGGGTGGCTCTGCCATCCTCCACCACAACTTCCTTCTCTGGGAGCAGGGCAAGCTGTACCCAAAGGTGACATTTCCCAGCTGGCAGGAAGGGAAGCAGGACATCCGGCACCGCTTCCCCTCCAGTGCCTGCCCTCTCACCCCAGCCTCATGTTTTGCCTGGACGATCCCAGCAGCCTCCCAATAGAGCCCCATCTCCAGGTTTGCTCCCTCTTGGCCTACAGTCATGTCACGTCCCCTGCCTAGAGCCTTCGGTGGCTCCCAAGTACCCTGAGCTCAGCCTACAAGGAGGACTCTTCACCGCCTAGCTCAGCCCGTCTCCAGCTCCCCTCCTGCTCCAGGGGTTCTTAAACTGGAGTGCAGGTTTGGGCCTGAAGTATTCCTTCTGAAGAGAGGGTCCCAGATGGCCATCAGTTGTCCTGGAAGAACTGTCCATTCCCACTTGGCCTTTATTGCCGTATGGAACAGAATGCAGGGCCCGGCATGCAGCAACTGCTCTGTCTAAGTAACATGGTTCTTTGGTTCAGCCCTCTGGCTCCGTAGAGAGCTAGGTCCAAGTCCCACTTCTGCCCCTTTCGAGGATCATGCTGGAGCCTCCAAAATCCACATGAAGGCTTAGTAAACTGTAAGGGCCCTCGTACTGGGCCTGTACATAGTAAATTCTCTGTGATGTTATCTCTAATTATTTCTCTATGCCAGGCACCCCACGAAGAACTTCCCTTAGAATATCTGGGGAAGCCCTATAATGACCGTATGGGATAGGTACTATTATCATCTCCCCCTTTTACAGATGGGGAAATGGAGGTCCAGAGAAGCCAAGATACTTGGCCAAAGTCACACAGTGAGGGGTTTCAGAGGTGGTTTTGGACCCAAATCACCTGCTCCAGAGTCTTATGTTCCCTGTGACCAAGATGAAAGGAAAATAAATACATAAGCAATTGCTGAGTCCAAGCTGACCAGTGCTTGAAACACACAGGAAGATAAAGGCCATTGAGTCCTCTGGATCCTCCTGGGGCAGGGACGGGAGCTTCCTTCCTGCTTCTGACTTCCTGACTCCCCTGCCCTGGCTTCAGAACGTGACCACAGCTCCGCCACCCCCCAACTCTTCTGCAAGTAGGACTTAGCTTTCTTGTCTACCTCCTCGGCCTTCTCGCTGCTCTGATCCCACCTCCGGCTGCACCCATGCACCCCTCCCACCCCGCCCGCCAGGCCCTGGGCAGGGTAGGGTCACACTTGTCACTTGCAATCTGGGAAACAAGGGAGGGCTACGGGAGCCCTGGAAGCCCCCTGGCTGGCTGAGGCCCCACCCCTTGGTCTGGGAGAGGTGTCAGGACCACAGTCACCCAGGCCTGGCTGTGTCCACAAATCACAGAGGACTGGACCCTTCCCTCTCTGGGCTTCACTCTCCTCATCTGTAAAATTGGAGCGAGCAACCCAGCCCTGCTTGCTTCACAGGGGTTGCCATGAGACTCAAGTAAGATGGTCCCTTCCCTCAGCAAATGTTATTGAGTGCCTACTATGTGCCAGCAACTGTGCTAGGCTCTGTGGACACAGCCATGAACAAGACAGACAGACACCTGCTCTAAGGTGCCTACAGTCTGGGGTGGGTGGGAGGAGACAGAAATTCAATAACCAAACAACGGAAAGCACAGTGACAGAGGAACTATACAGCGCTATTGGAGCAAGGATACCAACTTAGGGAAGGCGTCCTTGAAGGACGAGGAGGAGTTAGGTGAAGAGGAAGAGGGTTCCAGGCAGAGGGAGCAGCATGTGCAAAGGCCCAGGGGCTGGCTCAGGGAAAAGCTTGAGAACATTCAGGAAGGGGAAGGAAGAGGCCAGAGCTCTGAAAGAGGCAGAGGAGACAGAGCCTTGGGTGCCAGACTGAGAAGAGGACACAAAGATGTGGTCTAAACCGAAGGAAGCCAGGGCCGTTGGGGGGCCCAGAGCCTATAGGCTTTGCCATCCTCCAATGTGAGCAATGAACCTTGAGCAAGTTACTTCCCCTCTCAGAGCCTGGGTTTTCACTCCCAGTGAAAGAGGGGTCACAATATCTATTTCGCCAAGGCTTTTGAAGATTAGAGAAGATCTATCTACTGTACGTAAAAAACCCTATCCCAATGCAAAAGACTTGTCCATAGATGATGACCACTGTTATTCTCAGGAGCAGCCCATGGCATTTCTGGGTCTTCTCATTATTTCCTGCTTCTTGAACATCTGTCATTGCTAA